AGTGACCTTTGAGTCCACGAGGTTTCTCAGTGTCTCAGTGGCCCCTTGATTCTATAAGGTCCCAAAATGTCTCAGGGCTCCCTTGGTTCCATGAGGCCCTTCATGGCACAATGAACCCTTGGTTCCAGGAGGTTCCACAGTGTCCCAGGATTCCTTTGTGTTCAGAAGGCCCAACAGTGTCACAATGGACCCTTGATTCCTTGAGATTCCACAGTGTCCCAGGGTTTCTTTGGGTCCAAGAGGCCCTGCAGTGTCCCAATGGCCCCTTTCCTCCAGGAGGTTCCACAGTGTCCCTGCTGGAACACACATGGCTGTCATGTTGTCACCCCTGCAGAGCTGCCTCCAGCTCTGGGGCCCAGCAAGGTCATGGAGCTGCTGGAGCCAGTCCAGAGGAGACCACCAAGAGGATCAGAGGGATGGAGCAGCTCTGCTGGGAGGAAAGGCTGCTGAGATTGTTCAGGCTGGAGAAGAGAAGGCTCGGGGTGACCTCATTGTGGCCTTGCAGTGCCTGAAGGGAGCCAACAAGAAAGATGGAGAGAGACTTTGGACAAGGGCCTGCAGTGACAGGACAAGGGGCAGTGGCTTCTCACAGATAGAGGGAAGAGTTCCAGGAGATAGGAGGAAGGAATTCTTTCCTGGGAGGGTGCTGAGATGCTCTTTAAGGCCCTTCCCAACTCAAGGCATCCCATGATGCTGGGACTGGTGGGTGAGGTGGTGGTGGGAGCCGTCTGCGGCAGAGGGACAAAAAAGGAGGGAGTTTTCCATCCTGGGGGAAGGAAGGAGGGGGTAGCAGAACTGACCCCTTGGACACCTGGCAGGCAGGCTTTGGCTTGAGGTTGGTGATGGGCAGCTGAGTGAAGCCCCCCAATGCAGGAGGAAATGGTCAGTGACCTGCTCTGCCAGTGAGACCCCCACGAGTGCCTGGGCCTAGATGGGATGAACCCCAGAGTACTGAGGGAGCTGCAGAAAGAGCTGGCCAAGCCACTGTCATGGCCCAGTAGTGCTGGAGAACTGCAGCAGTCCCAGCTGACTGGAACAAGCAAATGGGATGTCCATCCACCAGCAGGGCCAGAAAATGGGGATCTGGGGAGCTCCTGGCCTGTCACAGTGACCTCAGTACCGGAGGAGTCCATGCAGCAGATCATCCTCAGTGTCATACCCTAGCACAGGCAGGACAAACAGGGGATCAGGCCCAGCCAGTGTGGGGTTGGGAAAGGCAGGTCCTGCCTGACCAACCTGGTCTCCTTCTGTGACAAATGACCCACTCAGCAGCTGAGGGAAAGGCTGGGGATGTGTCTGTCCTGAATTCCAGAATTCCAGAAAGCCTTTGGCATGATCTCCCACAGCATCTCCTGCACAAACTGGCTGCTCATGGCCTGGACGAGGGAACTGTTTGCTGGGGGAAAAACTGGCTGATGGCCCAGGGAGTGGTGGGGGATGGAACTAAATCCAGGTGGGGCTGGTAACTAATGGGGTTCCCAAGGGCTCAGGTTTGGGGCTGCTCCTGTTTAACATCGTTATTGGTGATCTGGATGAGGGGATCGAGTGCCCCCTCAGGAAATTCGGGGATACCATGAAGTTGGGTGTGAGTGTGAATCTGCTGCAGGGCAGGAAGGCTCTGCAGAGGGATCTGGACAGGCTGCATCAATCAAGCCAAGTGTCAGGACCTGCTCTTGGATCACAACAAGGCCCTGGAATGCTCCAGGCTGGGGGCAGAGGAGTTTGAAAGCTGCTCAGCAGGAAGGGAGTTGGGAGTGCTGCTTGAACTGGATATGAGCCAGAGTGTGCCCAGGGGGCCAAGAAGGCCAAGGGCACCCTGGCCTTTCTGGAGAACAGGGTGGCCAGCAGGACCAGGGCAGTGATTGCCCCTCTGTGCTGGGCACTGGGGAGGCCCCACCTCGAGTGCTTTGTCCAGTTCTGGCCCCTCAATGCAAAAAGGCCCTGGAGGGGCTGGAGTGTGTCCAGAGAAGGGAACGGAGCTTGGGAAAAGCCTGGAAAACGTGTCTGATGAGGAGCAGCTGAGGGAACTGGGGTTCTTTAGTCTGCAGAAGAGGAGGCCCAGACTGGACCTACATTTTTCACTACCACGACCTGAAAGAAGGTTTTAGTGGGAAGAGGGGTCGCTCTTCTACAAAGCCTTTAGTGAGAGCAGGAGAGGAAATCGCCTTAAGTTGCCTTAGGTGAGGGTCAGATTAGATATTACAAAATTCTTTATTCACTGAATATTTAGCATTGGAATAAGATTCCAAGAGAGGTGATGGAGTCTCTGGAAATGTTCAGATGGCATCTGGATATGGCATTTTGGAATGTGGTTTAGGGGTGATTATGGTGGTGCTGTTGGTTGACAGCTGGAACAGAAGATCTTGAAGGTCTCTTCTAACGTTGATGATTTTATGATTCTCTGACCTGTCATCACAGTTTCCAGGTTTGTGCTCTAACAAGATCTTTTCTCAGTTGGATCCCTCAGTGGGACCCATTAACACTACAAGAAACTTTACAGTTTGAATCTCCCTTTGGTTTCTCAAGAGGTTCCTGCAACTCTTCTCAGGGTCTGATGTTCAGGGACTCATCCCCAAAGCCCCCAGGGTGATGAAATGCCTGGGGCTGGTGCTGTGCTGCTGAGCTGGGCCGGGCTCCTGGCACACAGGGAGCTCCTGGCAACCAAGAACAGCTTCAAAGACACAGCTCTGCCCAGGAGCACCTCTTTTGCACAGCCCAGCAGGGCTGAGGGCACTGCCTGCAGCACCCAGGAGAGAAGGCAGAGATGAGAGAGGTAGCCTGGGCTGGGAGGGGACTGAGCTCTCACTGCGAGAGAAACATTCCCAGGATTTGAATGAAGAATTCTCTGGCTGGAGGACACTGAAACTTCCTTTCCTGCAGGGATCTCCTAAAGCTGCCACATCCCACAGGTTGTAGGATCCTTCAGAAAGCCTCTCCCAGTCCCTGCAGGGCAGAGGAAGTGGCCCTATGGCAGAGCAGGGCAGGAGCTGCAGGCAGCAAGGGCAACCAGGAGAAGGGAGCAGGAGGTGAAAGGGATCCTGGGCTGGGAGGACAGGGCAGAGCTGCTCAGGGGAGGAACCTTGGCAGCCCTTTGGCACGGGAAGGCTGTGGCTGCAGAGCAGTGCAGGGAGTTGCTGCAAGTGGCTCTTGCAGCTGCCAAATGGCAGCCCTGGCAGGAGCTGTCAGGATGGCTGTGCTGGATTTGCTGGGGGCAGCAGGAGAAGCTGCTGCAGAGCAGGACTTGCTGCTGCCCCATGGGAGGCCCAGGGCCAGAAGGTTCCCTGTGCCAGGGCTGGCTGTGGGGTAGGAAGGTGGGGGTGCAGCCAGGGGTGCCCAGGGCTGTGGGGCAGAGCAGGGTCCTGCCCCCCAGGGCTGTGTGTGCTGGGGCAGGGACTCTGCTGCCTGCCAGGGGCAGCTCTCAGCCCGGCCAAGGAGCTGCCACGGCCCTGCAGGGAGAAGGGGTGGGGGAAGGAGTGAGCCCTCCTGGCAGGCCAGGGCTGGGCAGGGCCCTTCAGCTGCAGGCTCAGGGCTCCTCCCAGCTTCAGCTGCACCTGCTGCCATTTGCAGGGGCCCTGCTCAGGAAGCACATCCACTGCCAACACCTGCCCCTTCCCAGCCAGCGCAGGGGCTCTGGGATCTGCTCTGCAGCCCCTGCCCAGGCAGAGCTGCCCCTGGGCCCTGGGCTGGGCATGGGCTCTGGCAGCACTGGCAGGGAGCTGAGCTGGGCACAGGGAGGGGCTGCTGGCAGGAACAGCTCCTCACACACACCCAGGCAGGGAGGAGAGGCAGCTGCTGCCACAAGTGCTGGCCAGGGGATGTGGCCCCTCCCTGCCTGTGTCTGTGGCACAGAGCCCTTCCCTGAGCAGCTCCTGCCTGGGCTCCTTTGCCAGCCCAAGCAGAGCCTCTGCCCTCAGGCCCACGGGGGCTGGGCTGGGCATTGCCCTGCAGCAGCCAGAGCCCAGGCAAGGACAAGGCCCTGATTTTCATCTCTCTCTGCCTGTTCCTCCTCCTTGGCAGCAGCACTGGGGCATTTCCCTGTCATCCCCTGCTGCCTGGGCTCCTCTTGTTCTCACCATTGGGATTTTTGAGCCAGTGTGGGGTTTGTGTGCAGACACAAACCCTTTGGGTGCTGCTGTGGGGATGTGTCTGTGGGACCAAAGTGCCCAGATGCCCTCCAGGCAATTTCAGTCTCTTCAGCTGTTTCCCTGGGTGTCCTGCAGGGCTGCAGGTGCCCTCCAGAAGGGCACAGCTCTGCCATAGTATCTCTGTGCTGCACAGGATCCCCGTGGAGAAAACTCCTCAGTGCTAAATACATGGAAATGCTCTGGGCAGCTGCAATGAGCATTTGGTGTCTCACTATGGGAGGGGAGAGATAAAAGGTGAGGAGTGTGTCAGTCTGTTCTTTGGACACGGATTCCTGGCTATCTGTGCAGTTTCTCTGTAGGGGAACAGTTGAGTGTGATGCTCCTGCAGCTCCAAGCTGCCAGCACAGGGCAGCTGAGCACAGACTGATGGGCAGAGCAGCTCTTCTGTCTGCACTGAGGGACCGTCCCTGTGCCCTCAGAACTCACAAGACTTGACCTGCAGTGCCATAGAAATGTCAGGGATTTCCAACATCCACAACCACTCCTAACTGTGGCAGGTGCAAGTGGGGGAACAAACACAAAGTATTCTCTCAGCTCAGTCCTTCCTTTGGGCAAATTGCAAACAGCAAAGCTGAGAGGCTCTTTGTTGTATCACAAGCACATTTAATTGGAGATCACCCTGCATTCCAAGTTCCCTCTGCCAGCAGAGCAAGAAGGAGTCCTGGGAGCCCATCCCAGAGTTCCTGCTTCCAGTGGTGCCCTCAGGCAGCAACAGCCAGAGCTCAAAGAATGCAGCTGCAGGGAGGTCTGAGTGAGGAGAGAGAGCCTGAGAGTGGGGTGGCTGTGAGATGTGTCCTGTTTGGCTGTAGCAACCTGGTCTAACTCAGCATTGACTTCTCCTCCTCAACAGATCCAAACACTCTGAGGAAGCAGCAAATGCCCAACAGCAGCTCCATGGCCCAGTTCCTGCTGCTGGCATTCTCAGACAGGCGGGAGCTGCAGCTGCTGCACTTCTGGCTCTTCCTGGGCATCTCCCTGGCTGCCCTCCTGGGCAACGGCCTCATCCTCAGCGCCGTAGCCTGTGACCAGCACCTGCACACCCCCAGGGACTTCTTCCTGCTGCACCTCTCCCTCACAGACCTGGGCTGCATCTGCACCACTGTGCCCAAAGCCATGCACAACTCCCTCTGGGGCACCACAACCATCTCCTACACAGGATGTGCTGCACAGCTCTTTTCCTTTACCTTTTTCATTTCAACTGAGTTTTATCACCTCACCACCATGTGCTACGACCGCTACGTTGCCATCTGCAAACCCCTGCACTACGGGACCCTCCTGGGCAGCAGAGCTTGTGCCCACATGGCAGCAGCTGCCTGGGCCTCTGGGTTTCTCACTGCTCTGCTGCACACAGCCAATACATTTTCCCTGCCCCTGTGCCAGGGCAATGCCCTGGGCCAGTTCTTCTGTGAAATCCCACACATCCTCAAGCTCTCCTGCTCACACTCAGGCTAACTCAGGGAAATTGGGCTCATTGTGGTTACTATCTGTTTCATGTTCACTTGTTTTGTTTTCATAGTTTTCTCCTATGTGCAGATCTTCAGGGCTGTGCTGAGGATTCCCTCTGAGCAGGGACGGCACAAAGCCTTTTCCACGTGCCTCCCTCACCTGGCTGTTGTTTCGCTGTTTCTCAGCACTGCAACATTTTCCAACCTGAAAACCCCCTCCATCTCTTCCCCATCCATGGACCTGGCCCTGTCAGTTCTGTACTCGGTGGTGCCTCCAGCCCTGAACCCCCTCATCTACAGCCTGAGGAACCAGGAGCTCAAGGATACCCTCAGGAAAATGATGACTGCATTTAGAGCCAATAATAAAATGCATCTTTTCTTTGGGAAACACTCAGAATGTAAATCATTATAATCTAAGCCTTTTTTCTCTTTATTTTTCTTTTTCCTTCTTTTCATTTTATTTTTACTTTTTTAATGTTTTCCACGAATCAATGGCATTACTCAAAGCATTTCTACATCAGTATCTACCATTTTTATTTAACTCAAGGTCTTTGAAAAAGGTTGTTCTCTGTACATTTGAATGAAATAAAGTTCCATTCCCTGATTTCTGTGTTGAAGATGCTTCTTCAGCCCTTCTCTGGAGCTGCAGGGGCAGTGCCTGTGTGCAGAGCTGGTGGGAAAAGACTCCCAGCACATCAGCACAGCCAGGGACAATGGCACTTGTTCTTTCCACATCTCGGCTTTGGGAAAGGATGGGGAAGGTTGGGAAAGGTGTTAACAGGGTGGTTTTGCCTGAGGTGTTAAACATGGGAGCGGGTCTATCTTCACAATTCCCAAGAGAAGAGATGGCAGAAAGCTGCCCTGCAGGTTGTATTTTAAGGAACAAGAAAAGAGACCGAGGGTAAGGGGTTTCTTTCCTGGAGGGCAGGGCTGTCGTTCACTTGCAGGAGCCCCATGCTGGAATTGTCAGTCCGACTGCCAAATTTGAATGTGGACAAAGATTCCTGCCAGACAAAAGGTGGCAGGATAGAAAGCTTTTGGTGTCCATGGAGTACCCAGGGTGTCCCACCAACTGCACCTAACACCCGAAGGTTATTGTTTCTTTCCTGGGGGAAAGGCCGTGACATCACAAAGAGTCCCATGGCAGATGGGGGGGCTGCACTGTGGGGGTGTGGGGCATTGCTTAGCTTTCCAGGGGCTATTCCAGAATAGAGAGGACGGGCCAGGACATCACAAAGGGGCCCATGACACATGGGTGGGGCTGCATTCTGACCTTGTGGGGTGTTGGTTCTTTGGTTGCCAGGGCATATCTGGAATGGAGAGGACAGGCCGTGACATCACAAAGGGGCCCACGGCACATGAGTGGGGCTCCACTCAGAAAGTTGGGACATTGGTTCTTTCATTGCCAGGGGCCATTCCTGAATGGAGAGGACGGATACTGGGACATCACAAAATGGCCCAAGACACATGGATAGGGCTGCATTTCAGGGTTTTGGGGTGCTGCAGGCATACAAGCGAGCGGGAAAGAACCACACACACATCCACAAGATGCAAGTTCGAATCCAGTTTTATTATTGTTAGGCTGTACAATTTATATTATTCTGAGTTCTGTCCACGCGAACACGAGCACAGCACGCCATCACGATTGGTCAGCACGCGCTGTCCACGCGCCCCAGGTAACCCACCGATTTGTGGTTTTGAAGCCCACATTTGCATACCGTTTCTGTTATCACTGTTTTTTCCATCCTGCTTCTGCTGACTCCTGCATTCTTGTAGCAGCAGGCCGTTTCTTGTTTATCTTACTGTTACCTCTTGACCTTTTCAGAACTCAGAATAATCATGCAGAATTGCTAAGGCCCCAACATCTCCGCATTGGGAAAGGTCTCAATCGGTGTCGTAATTCCAGTCGGCATCGCCGTGGCCAAAGGACCCCTCCTCCATCTCTGACAGTGGGAGGCCTGACTCGCCCACTGCCCCCAGCCACTGCTCACCGAGTGACTCGTCTTCCAGCCAGCTGGGCAAGGGGCTGGGGGCTGGGAGTTGGGGTTCCTTTTGTCCTCATCCATCTCCGTTCTCCTCTGCTGCAGAGGGTTCCAGGCAGCTGCTGCCTCCTTGCAGAGGGGCTCTCCTGGTTGTGGGCACCCCAGGGCTCTGTTGTCCCTCCAACACCTGCGGGCAGGGCAGGGGCTGGGATGTCACAAGGGTCTCCGGGCACCCCCATGGCCGCGTCACAAAGGGCCCTGGAAGGCGCCCATGTCACAAAGGGCCACCCCCAGCCCCCCATGGACAGCGAGACCGCCCGGACCCGGCCCGGGGCAGCCCCGGCACTTGTGACCTTGTAGCTCCTGCTGTGCCCGGAGCCCGGGCAGGGGCTGCTCCGCTGGGGAATGTCCTTCCAGCGTAAAGTGCCGGCAGAGAGCACAGGGCAAATCAGTCTCTCCATCCCGGCACTGCTTCTCTCTCTAGAGTGTTCCAAGCAAATAAAGTGGTCGCTGAACAAGTGGCAGGAAAGGCACTGCCCGCAGCCGGTGCTGCCAGCCCAGCACCCCATCCCTGCGGGGCACCCGCCAAGGGGCCCTGGCTGGGCCGGGCACGGGGCATGCACAGCACTCGGGGGAGCCTTGGAACATTGTCCAAAGTGTACTGTGGAGCTCTGGTGTTTGCCAGGGGCTCCGTGAGAGCCTGTGCTCTCTGCACCCACTCGGGGCTGCTCCCTGCTCCTCTGCCGCCTTATTTCCCAGGGGGATGGAGATGACAGTGCCCTGGCTGTGACCCTGCACGCACAGGACATTGGAATACAGGCAGCACGTGTGTGCCCCGACTCCATGGGCTCATTGCTGGCAGGAGGGGACACACAGGGACGTTCCCCGGGCTCGGCCGTGGCCGAGCGGACCCCGCAGCAGCCGCGGGCCCGTCTCGGCTCCAAAGGCCGCCCGCTCCGCCCCTGGGCGGTGCTGAGGGAGCGGCGCTTCCATTGCTGCGCCCTCAGGGCCTGAGGGGACAGCGGCTCCCGCCAGCCCCGCTGCGGTCCCGGCACACACAGAGAAAGGGGCCACAACTGCTGCTCAGCGACACAAAGGGACTTCCCAACCCCTTCGCAAACCAGCCCCGAGCGCGGGGGGCGGCTGTGTCAAAGTCACCACGCGGCTGCACCAGCGCCAAAAGCACCTGTGGAGACGCTGCCACCTGGTTCCAGCTGTGCCACGTGTGAGACCCAACACACAGGGATTAGTCTTCTATCCCAAACAGACCAAAAGCTTCCGTGTTTTATCCCTAGGTTTTTAGTCTATTTGGGAGAAAAGACCAGTTTTTATTATTGCACTGGCCGGTTGTACATGGGGTTCAAAATGCACAATAAAGAAATAATAAATAAACCAGGGCTAAATGGGAAAGGGGAATGGGTTTCATGGTCACTTCATCAGACATCTGTTCAGAACGAAGAGTTCTTTCCCTGCTCCAGTGTGGGGTTCCTTGTAGGAGATGACTTCAGCGAAGAGAAGTCATATGAACAGTGGAAAGAGGAATTCATCAACGGAAAAGACACAGCAACTACATTTGTTTAATGGACTTTTATAAAGTGATTTTTGGGCTCAGAACCTGTTTTTAGGTAGAAGACCCCATTTTAAATTGTTACATTGGTTTCTATGGACTTTGCTCCCTGGAGCTAGCAGGTGTGTTCTTACTGCACAGTTTATATTGCTGTATCTGTCTCACCCTTCTCCCCAGTTACTTCGTTGTTACTACCCTTTCATGCCTATGCATTTTCCCTCACCCTATCAAATGTCCAAGTTTTGCGTAGCCCTCTCAGTTTCTAGAATCCTCCCCAGCCTGCCCTTTATAAGTTCCTCCATTTTGTTAATAAACCAAATCAGCCTCGGCCACTGCCTAGAGAAGATCTGCAGTCCTGTTCAAGAACCTTGCGGGTCTCGTGTCTCTTTCCCGAACTGTGACAGTTCCTCTCATGGGAGACAGCTCTCCATGAACTTCTCCTGCTCGAGTCCTTCCACAGGATCCGTCCTTAAGGCATCGATCCAGCGTGGGTCCCTTCCATGGGGTCAGTCCTTCAGGAACTGCTCCCCTGTGTATCCCCCGTGGGGTCACCAGTCCTGCCACCAAACCTGCTCCAGCGTGGGCTCCTCTCTGCACGGATCCACAGGTCCTGCCAGGCCCCTGCTGCAGGCTGGGCTTCCCCCAGGCTCACGGCCTCCTTTGGACATCCCCCTGCTCCAGGGGGCTCCTCCGGGGGCTGCATGATCAACATATCTACTGGCAAAAGATTTAATAACAGAAAAACTATGCTGTAAGAAAAAAAAAGGTTTTTTACAGTTTTGTCAGTGGTTCTCTATGTTTTAAGCATGTTTTTTTTGTTTCCTTTTGTTTATTTTGCCAACATTGAAGCTCAAATGAGCAACAGCAGGAGAAAAACAACAGCTGGGTGCAAAGAATCAGTGTGGTACTGAGGGTTCACATGGTCTGTTTTCTCTTCCTCTTCCTCCCCCACCTGTTTTTTGCTTTAAAATGCCCTAAACTGCAGCCTGGGCCAGGAGATATTTGGGGGTTGGGGACAGTAAAAAGCTCTGCATCAACTAAACCTTATTGAAAAATCAAGTGTCTGGGTGGGAAAAATGATCCTTTCTGTTCTTGCTTTGCAGACACAGGCAGAGGGTTCTTACCTGGAGAATATTTACCTGTGGAGGAAATGCCGGGTGCATTTCCTGGTAATAATTGGAATTTGTTGATGTCAGGGTTTAGAGAGAGTTTTAATAAGTGTGGGAACTCTTTGCAGCTGCCAGTGCCCCACCAGCAGCATCCACATTCTGTGCCAGTGGATTCTTGTCCTGTTTCTTTGGGTTCTTTCCTTACAAATATTCCACAAATTGTTCTCTGGGGTCAGTTTTGCTTTTCTGAACCTGTTAATTTTTACCTTTGCCTTGGGGAATAGTGCATGGCCAGGGAAAGGCTGAGCAGGGAAAGAATTCAGGAAAAACCATGAGCCAGGTGGGAAAATGTTGCCAGCGTGGGAGGCTGGAGCAGCGACAAGAGGAGCGAGCAAAGGCTGGGACAGGAAACAGGGACCAAAAACCAGCCCTGGGGAGAGGAACAGGGTTAGAAAAAGGTTGTGACTGCCTGGGGGGGAGTTTGGGGGATTGTCAGCTCTTGGTGGGTTTCTATTTGGACCATGAGGTGTCCTGGCAAAGCCCCAGGAGGGAGCAGGACGTGCCCAGGCCCGGGAGCTCGGGCTGTTGTCCCAGATCAGCTGGTGGGTGGCAGGAGGAGCTGAGGGTGCCCCTGTCCCCTCTGTGCCCCCCAGGGGTGGCAGAAGCCCCTCGGGAGGCAGGTCCAGAGGCACCATCCCCTGTCCCGGGGGCTCCACGAGCTGCCTGCACAGGGTGGGCACAGGGGGGTGGGCTCAGGTGGGGCTGAAGGGCCGTCCAGCACCTTGGGGGGTGACCTGGGGGGCCTGGGACTGAAAACCCCTCGGGGCTGTGCAAGGCCTTGAGACAACACCTTCCCAGGGCACCCAGAGCCGGCAGGAGCCCAGGCTGAGTTGGGCAAACAAAGCCAGTCCTGGTTCTTTGAAGGCTGAAATCACCTAAAGCTGGGGAAGGGCAAACGGGGCTTGGCTTTCCTGGGAGGAAACTGCCCCAAATGGGGCATTTGGCACTCCCCAGTTCCTGGCTGTTATAGTCAACAGACCAGAGATAATTTTAAAAAGTATAAAAGAAATTTATTGAAGGCAGGTAAGCAAAACAGCGCGCTGGGTGACCGGAGGAAACCCCTGTTCCATCAACGGTCTGCAACGTGACAAACCAAGGGTCCATCTTTTATACCCCCTCCTTTATCTCCACCCCTTAAGTCTTTTTCGATTTCTTCATTGGGTTCCATTTCGCGGGCTCCCCCGATATTGGTCCTTGTTTTCGCGGGCTCCATCTCGCCACCTGGGTTCAGGCAATCATTTGGTTGGACCACAGTCCTCAGAGACTGTTGTGTGGAAGTTTCCAGATGGAGGGGTAAGTCCTCTCCTTTGGTTTTTGCTGTTTCCTTCTATTTTTCTTTCCTATAAGCATGCTTAGAACAAACACTTGTAGAATAACAAAACATACAAATTCATAACAATTATGCATTTAACAATTACAACACTGTGGTTTCCCTTTTTGTGATTGTCTAATTCATAACTCTAGCAAAGTTCTTGTTAGGTTTATTGTAACTTATTTTATTCAAATTAATTTGATGATCAAATTATATCTTTACTCTTTATCACCTATTACACAGGCATAAAATACATCTGTAAATTGCATTATTTTTCAAAGAAATATAGGAGATCATTATTGCAAAATGATTAGGATGACCTTGCCAACGAGCTCAGGAAGAGCTGTGGTATCCTGAAAGTCTCTGCAGGACGTGAAGTGAACAGGATTAATATGTGCTGAGTGGGAAGGAGGTGGTTTTGTATCTTGCTGAACTGGGATCTAAAATGGTGCCCACCTGTCAATGGCCCTGTTGTTGTGTCAGTCCAGCTTCAGAGAGAGGAAGCAGGAGACTCTGCAGGGCACAGATTTTTGAAATGGGAATCAGAGGTGCACCACACCATCTGCTCTGGTGTTCACTGTCTTGGACCACACCCCACTGACACCCCTTCCCATGGGTCAGGCTTGTGCTGCACCCAGACCAAGGCATTTGTACTCGAGCTGTGAGAAGTGGTGCTACACCCAAACAAACTTCAGACTTGATTTCAGAAGGGAATATTAAACGGGGCCCCCTTTATATGACATTTGCAAGACGAGTGCTGGAATACTACTTATAGGCTACCCACATTTTGAGAAGGATGAGATTTCATTTAAAATAGAAGAAATGTGGCTCCAAGTTAAGCTGTGACTGGATCAGGGAGCATTAGTTGTATTCACTGAGGAATGATTGTTATCATAGGAGGTAACTATTCAATGTGTTAGGTACAACAGAAGCCAGTCTCTGGAAACTGAGATGACAGAGAAGCAAAGTGCAAATTTTAACCCTGTAATCAACCCTTGAACAGCACACCCATAGACAGGGGGATTCTCTGTTCAGTCACTCCTTAAGCCAAGGCTGAATACCTTTGAGACACAGTGTAAGTCAGAAACTGTGGACCTGATGCCAAATTTGCTGGGGAGTGTTAGAGGAGGTCAGACCATGTGGTTGTCCCTCTAGATCTTAAAACCTCTGAGCTGTAGGCACATCTTAATACTTATTGCTATGAAATGTTCTGATAGTCCAGAAAAACATTCTGAAAGGTTGTTGCCCAAATCTGATCTGTTTGTATTTAAGTAAAATACAACTGGAGGGATCAAGAAGTCTCTAGACATCACAATGAGGATGTGACCCTAGCGGTAAGGCCCCGCTAGACCTGCTGATTACAAACAGAGAGGAGCTGGTGGGAGATATAGTGGTTGAAGGCCGCCTAGGAAATAGTGATCATGAAATAATAGAATTTTCAATACTCAGAGATTCAAGGAGAAACAACAATAAAACCTCTACGCTGGACTTTCGGAGGGCAGATTTTGACCTATTCAGAAGTCTAGTCCAGAGCATACCCTGGGAAACAACCCTTGAAAACAAGGGAGTCCAGGAGGGATGGATGTGCTTCAAACAGGAAGTTTTGAGTGCACAGGAACAGGCCATACCAGTGTGCCGAAAGGCAAGCCGGCGGGGAAGACAACCAGCCTGGTTAAACAGGGAGATTCTGAAGGAAATCAGGGATAAAAAGAGAGTTTATCGACTATGGAAGAGAGGGCTGGCTACTTACGAAGAATTCAGGAAGACAGCTAGATCATGCAGAAAGAAAATCAGGGATACAAAAGCGCAATTTGAAGTTAAATTGGCCACTTCTGTTAGGGATAACAAAAAGTCCTTCTATAAATACATTAATAACAAAAGGAGGGGCAAAGAAAACCTCCATTCTTTGATGGACTCGGAGGGAAACATAGTTAATAGAGATGAGGAGAAGGCTGAGGTACTTAAC